CCTATGGTAACTTAAGCCCTCCTGAGGGATTAATATGAATGCTTAATGACATTAATAGACATTTGTATCACTTTTGTTTAACGACACACATTCCATGCATACATATATAAATATTAATTTTGGACTGAGTGATAATCGCTCAACACCATAACAATTAAACAGCTGTAACCTGTCTCATGTGTTAAGTAATGGAGCTGCAGGCAAGCTACATAAACAGATGGTCTTATCCACCCATGCTTAATGTTAAAGACTTTTTAAAAAAGAGGTGTTGACAAATCTGAACAAGAAGGCATAGTTTTAATGCAAATTGGCCAATTTGCAATTTAGATTACTCTAAAACTAATTTGGTCTATAGAAAAAATTAGGCTGCACTGTAAAACTGAGATGTTACACAGCACATGGATATAGCAGATTCCCCACCAACATAATTATTTACTAATTCTATTCAGCTAACAGAGTTTAATGGAAAAGCAGCTGGATAAGTATTCATATTTATGGGCTTCCTATGACAGTTAGTTAATTTACTCATGGTACATGCCAGTTATATCACGAAAAATAATAGACTATCTGAAATAATAGCTCTTCCAATCTCACAGAACAACTATTCAGACAAGAGAGGGTCACTGAACTCACTGCGGACCGGGATAGAAGGGAAATAAAAACATATTTTAGCACAACTGTGTTACGAAAACTTAATTACAGACCAAATTTTCATCCGGGCTCTCACCCGGGCACCAGCTGTGCTTGTGCAGACCTGCATCCCATTGAAATGCAGGTAGAGCTTCACAGAATACCATAACGATGCTCACTTCAGACCCACGAATGTCATTCTCACACCAAATAAACAGTTGACAGGTGATTTTCCTTAGCTCTGTAGTAAACTGTTGATTTAACCTGCTCTCACATGGCTACAAGCAATGGTAAAATATTACGACTCTCAGCAGGGAAAAGACAGTAAGCAATTTAGATGGCCTTAAACTGCTCCGTATTTGGAGCGTACAGTGCCAGTGTTTGGTTCAATCCTGTAAGATGCTGAACAATAGCTCTAAATCCTCATTTTTGTTAATTCTCAAAAAGTTGAGTTCACCACAACCCTGAGCATGCAATTACCTGCTGAATATGTCTGATATCAATCTTTAGCAGTACGTGGCAAGGGCAATAGCAGTGACTTATGAATGTGGCCCGTATTGGGTACGGTTCTTACGCCAGAGGTGCCCTCTGCAAGCACAGCAGAACAGTGGGTACCAGTAACATGCACCAGGTTTCCCAGCCAAAGCCATCTTGCCCACCTTTCTACGTGCATTACTTCAAAAAACAAAACAAAACCTTATTTACTGTACTTTATCCTCTCTCCCAAACCAAATGCAAACAGAAATGCATGTATATTATTTTGCAATTCCAGCCTTTGTGATACTGAAGCTTACAGAAAGGATGATGCTTAAAATAAAGGTGCTCTGAGAAGCAGGTGTTTAAATTTTGCCTGAACAAAAAAAGCAAACCTTTGCAATCATTTATGATCTTGCTACCCAATGTCCTCAAGAACTGGAATAAAAACAAATAAAAGGTCTTTTCCAGCTTACAGCTACTAGAATGTCTCTAGGCCAACTTTTCTCATGGGTGTCTTGAGTATAAATGGGAAGCAGTGTAAACTCAAAAAGCAACCTAGGGTTTGAAAGATATTAGGCAGGAACGCACTAAGGACTACCTTTTAATTACAGACACAGGTTTGTTTCTTCCCAGTCCCTAATATGTCTCATCTAAGAGAATACAAAGAATGGGCTAACTGAAAATGAGTCAGGACACACAGACGACATTCAGAAATAAACTAAAGTTGTTAGCTGAGGTGCAAAACATCTCTACCATTTTAAACTGCACTTGTGCTTTACAAAAAAGGAAAGCATGATCACTCTGATCAACTGAGTTACGGATGTAGAGCACAACAGCAAGACTTCAGTTAGCACTTCTAAGTTTTAACACATGCACATTCACCCCACTCTGGGAAGCCACCTGAAGATCTGCTGGGACACTCCTTTCCCAAAAGGTCAATGTCATCCATTGGCCTAAATTTACAATTTCTTTGGCAAATTCCATTCCCAAAGAAGTTTAAAATTTACGTCAGTACACTTCAGATGAATTTCAACCAAGAGCTGCACCAAACTAAAAAAATCTTTATTTCTATGAAATGGTTAACAGCTTTTAGAAATAGGAATGGAGAATTTTTCTGTTTTAGAGTTGTAAGCAATATAAAAGTGCAGTATAAAAATGGAGGGAGAGAATAAGAAAAGTGAGGTAAGTATATAGAGAAAAACATGCTGATGCTCCTTGTGTTTTGAAATCTATTGCTCAAAGGAAGACACTATAAACTCTAGAGTAGAAGAGACAAAAGCAGACTGACACTTCATTTGCAAAGCTGAGGAAGCATCCATTTTTACGGCATTAAGATGGAACTATTCCTGGAAATAAGCAATAGAATGTCCTGTTTTCGCTATAAAGCCGGGGTCTTGAAGAAAACAACTGCCAAATACAAGAGTGGACTAGAGGCTGTACTGCATTACTTGTGTTTGAGACTGTAATTGCAAAATGCAACATTAACAAATCAAACTTACAGCAGCAGCCTCAGAGTAAATACACATTTAAGGAACAAACAGGTGGGAAGACAGACCCGCTTGCCCAGTGCTGAGAAAAAACTTGTTTGTGCCTAATATGTCGGAAAAATTGTTCAAGAGCAGCTCATCCGTGTATGAGTGCAACCCTTGAAACAGTGCCAAGGTCAGGGAGACCAACAGCAGAGCGATCTGCTGAGTAATTGCTCATTGGCAAGTTAAGGCGGTCAGGGGAAAGGCTTTATCCTACTTTTAACTTTATTGTTTAAAATAAAGTGCTCTTCCCACCTCGCTGTTCTCATCAGCACGTTTCCTGAAAGTTCCTCAAACCTTTACCTGAGGCAATTCTCTCTGTATCTCTGCAGGGAGGCATCTTGGCCCCCAGGTCCCCTCCTTATGCACCAGAAATCTCACTAGTGAAAAAAAAGATCAATTGTGATTTCTGTAAAAACAATTCACAAATCAATCTGACTACTTCACACCTGGCTCCTTTCTACAAAAGGAAATCTTGCCTTCTCATCCTGGTGCAGAGACGTGGATACCGGACAATACAGCTAGAACAGGGACTCATTGCTGTGCAGTCTCCTCTGAAGACCTCCAAAACCCGCCTAGTCCTGATCCTGTGCAATGTGCTCTAGGTGACCCTGTTGGAGCAGGGCATGTGTTGGACTTCATGAGCTCTCCAGAGGTCCCTGCCAACCTCAATCATCCTGCGAGTCTGTGATTTTCCCTGCCCTCACGCCTCTCATCACTATTACTTCCTGTTACTACCATCCACAACATCATCATCTCACCTCTTAACCATTGTTGTAAGCTACCACTGAATGATTTTTGGCCTGTTCTTTTTTTCTAGATATCCATACTTGACCATACTGATTCTTTCCGCTTAACATTCTGAGTTAGCCTTTCCAAAACATCCATGAAAGTCAAATTCTCTGGCCTCTTCTTATTTTGTGGCAAAACTCTATTTCTGTGTACTGGTTGGTATTCATTAACTCTTACCACCATTGGACTTACCCTCTTAACCTGTTGCTTTGTCCTCATCACCTCTATTAACTGATTCCCCTTCTCCATCCCTTCAAACAAAACACTTTATTTTGCCTTAGTTGGATTTTGTTTTGACTGTTCAGTGTATCTTTGATTTTCCCATCACTCAGTGGTAGCTCTTGCCCTTCGCTTGACCAGTGACCATCTCCTTCATTGTCTATTTGATAGTGTCTCAAAAGAGGCATCTTTGAGAATTTATCCAAAAGGCTGCTCACCTCTGGCAGACGTGGCCCGTAAATACCCGTAGAGCCATTTTGTTATTCCTGGGCTTGTGCAGTGCTCACCACAGACCTCAGCAGGAGTTAGTCTGCTCTCACACTGCCAGTCCCTTTGCCTGTGCTTCCTGCCTCTCTTCATGACAGTTTTTTTGAGCATTATGCTGGGAGCATAAAGCAGTCTGGACAGGACTCCCCCTCCTGCATTACAGTCCCGCAGTGTCTTGCACCACGGGGTCCTTGCTTACAGGGGAATTCTTGGCACTACAGCTACATAAAATATATTTTACAACAGTAACCTCTTGGACAACTCTTCCACTTCTTCCATTTCCTCACTTCCTTTAGCTACATGTATAATTTCCCATGCTGGTTCACTGTCAAACTCTAAGCAGTGGAGGGCAGGCATAGTAAATGGGACATAAGGAATGTAAATAATGGAGTGAGAAAAGCTTCACTCAAAGGCACAGGAGTCCCCAAAGGTTTTCACATTAGGACTAACTTAATTACAGCAATATATAAGCTGTAATAATGATGGCCTCTTCGGAATCTGCTGTGTTAAACTGCTGAAATGTTGTGCTGTTAGTTACATATCAGAAATCTGTTATAATTCTAAAATAAAGAATTATGTTGACAAGAAGATAATGTTAGGATGTTAGGCAACTAGATTACATTCATTGCAAGACAGGAATAGTATCTGTGCGTGTAGGCAAAATTCACCTTTTTTCAGAGTATCTTCTCCTTACAAGAAAGAAAAAAAAAAAAAACACAAAGGGAAGCTTTGTTTCCAAAAGATGGAAAGCTATCACATAAAAATAGAAAAGCACACATAGCAGGATATATTTACAGTTTAAAATAAGAGTAACCTCCCCCTGAGCAAAAGGCAGTTGAAAGGGAAAGACTAAAAAGGAAATTCTTGCACCTCCTATTAACAGCAAACTAGCTATGAAGAATTGATGAGCCATTATATAACCATCTCCTTTCTTAAAACACCAATTCCTTTGCCCAGCCAGGCAAGGGCAACCGCTCCCTTTGAAGAACCGGCTTTCAAAGCCGTGCGGCTCTCGCTCGGCTGAGGGCCGCCGCTCTGGGCGCGCGCGTGAGGCGCGCGTGAGGCGCGCGGCGGCGCGGGGCCTACCGATGGTGCAGTGCTCGCCGTTCCAGCCCTGGCTGCACTCGCACTTGCCGTCCTTGCAGGTGCCGTGCTCGGCGCAGCGCGGGTGGCACGCGCGCTGGTTGCAGGCGGCGCCCGTCCAGCCGTCCTCGCAGCGGCACGAGCCGCCCATGCAGACGCCGTGCGCGCCGCAGTCCACGGAGCAGATCTCTGTGGGCGACAGGAGGGGAGGGGAAGGGCCATACACGGGACAGAGAGGACGTGTGTGAATCAGCAGTTCCACCCACAAAGGGTTGGAAAAGCTAAAGCTGTGGAAATCAAACCAAAATTAAATCACTTTCTTTCCTTTGAAAAACATGCTCATGTCACCCCTACAGAATACGGAACAGAGAGCTTTCTCTCAGTGCTAATGCCTACTCAGCTATCCCGCAGACTTACCGACGCTCAGGTGTCCACAGTCCTTCTACCTCTTAGCTCCGAGCAATTTTCAAATGCAGTTTTTTATTTCATATTTCTTACAGGCCACCTTTCGTAACTCAGATTATAGGGCACTCAAAGCTATTAAAATTTACAGCCTGGTTTTAGTGACTGAATGCCCCACAGACCTAAGTCACTGTATGTCATGAGTAAAAATGCAGTATTAATGGAAGTTCCTTACAACAACAAGGTTTCCCCTCTCCACTCTGCTCCCTGTTTTCTTCCAAAGTAAAAATGTGCCATTTTTGACACATTTTTTCATTAAAAAGAATCAGCCTTAGTGAGACAAATTAGTACTATGCTGACATAACTGACACATCTGTTAAATATAAATGATGATGCTCTTTCACTTTCAGTAAATTCCTATCAGTGACAGCTATGAACAGTCTGGCTTAAATAATAGATTGTTAAAAAAATAAAGCAACATACAGCAATTTAACTTGTCATTTACCTATAGTAACAGGTTCTTGTAACTGATAGAATAATTGAAAAATACATTAAGAGCCAAAGGTAGTCGGAGACTAAACAACCCATGTTAACTCTCAGAGCTAATACAAGCTGATAATTTAGATTGCCAGAGTTTGCATTTACAATTTTAGTTCATTCAGTTAGACTGTAGGAAACATCATTATTGCTAGAGAATATAGTCTAAGAAATTTTTTAGTTCCTTGGAATACAATTGGTTCTAACCATACATCAGTTGATTAAAGCAGCATATTTAATTTTTGTTTTCTTGTGAAAGATAACAATCAGCAAAAAGAATAAAAATTGTTATTTTCAACTACCAAAGAAAGTAGTTGCTCGGTGGAAAAATAGGGGTTTCAGTTTGTCATTGTGCAGTGTTTCTTTTGTCCCAGTTGAGTGTAATTCTCTGGCTCAGGGTGCTCTTTCGCATTAAACATAGCATCAAGGAGCTGTGATATTTCCCATAAGAATATTTATGGAACAAGACAGGTGTAGGTTTTCCTTTTTCCTTCTTTCCTATAGAGCATTTAATACATACTTCGAATTAAATTTTTGATGAAGAGATCCAAGATGATTTGATTAACTTTAGAGTCACAAGATGTCAACCTAGCTTCAAAAAAGAAAAGTTTATTTCTCTTCAATCTAATCAATTTTTCATTAGGGTGAAGGTGTTTATCAGCCTTTAGCACACTAGCTATGAGCAAGGTGCGTCAATCTTTGTAATGAACTTATTAATTAGAGTTAATTTAATTGAAGTGGAATTGAAGGGCTAATTAAGGGACAAACTGCTGATGAAGATAGAGGAAAGCTCTGGTGATTTCAAACCTGCAAACCCTCTGATGGAAATAATTCTTTCTTTTCCTTTTTTAGCAGTTTTAACAAACTATTTATAGGTAAGATTTACTTTTTTGTGTACTGGTTTCAAGGTCATTTTGTACAACTTCATCAAATGCTCTTTGTGTTTTTTTAAAAGCTCTTTTGAGAGTCTGACACTACTGAAACATCTAAGAACGTGAGACACACGATTTTGTGCATTTCAATGACCAATAATTCCTTGAAACATCGATAAAAGTTACAGCATAACTGAATCATCCCAACTGCTGTGGAGGACATGGTGCCCAGAACTAGAAAGTTTTTGAGAGTTCATGTTTAGTGGAGAACTACCAAAGGTATCTTGCAAACAGCCTTGTTTAGCACTAAAAAAGCTCAGAGAAGAGTTTTTTTTCTTCTAACCAGAATTAATAGAAGACAACATTTTCTTAACTTTGTTGCTTTTCTCTTGAATGTTTGGAGCTCTCTACTACTCTTCGTGTACACACAAACCTTTATGAAATATCAATGACTCTGATCAGGAAGTACATTTGTTTTAAAAATAAATTTCCCCATGAAATCTATGAGATCAGTTTTCATTAAAAAATCATCTAAGCTGTTAAGATGAATTGTTTTGGACGAATATGTATCTCACAGACTCAATTTATGTTTTGATGTAAGACTACGAAAAAGTACTCTAAAAACTTGTATTTGGCTGCTATCCTACACAAACAAATACTTAGATTCTGCTCTCTGTGATGGTAATTGCAGGCTTTTTTTTCCTACTGCGGTCATCCTTGGATCATGGTTTTATAATCTCAGCTTCATCCTTCTTCATGTAAGAAAGTCTCACTGCTTTGTCACTTCTACCAACCCTTTTTGCCCCAGGAGCCCATGCCCTTCCTCGAAGCTATTCTTGCACTCCCACTGCCTCAAAACTGGACTGTTACCTGAGCTAAGATTTCAAGAAAAATGTCTGCAATTAGCTAGATAGACTTTAAAAGTGAAACTGCTTCCAGTTTTGGTGTAGTTCTATGTTTTAAATTGATGTGTTAGATAACATGGTAAATACACGTACTTATATTGTACAAAGAAGACTGTACTTGTATGTGAACTACCAGAAGTGGCTGACAAACACTGTCAAGCGCATAAATTGACTTCTGTACACTTCAAACTTGTTACTTATTTTGAACGCTTGAATCAATCCATAGCTCACACTGAAGTCAACGGAAAGACTTCCATCTGCTCAGCAGGTCAAGTCCAAGCTAACACCTTAAATCAGTGCTATTTAGAGCATCACTGTTTTAGTAAATGGGAGTGTTTTTCACCCTTACCATTGGAGCAATCTGGACCTGTCCAATTTGGATCGCAGGTGCAGGTACCACTCTCTTGCAGGTACGTCCCATGGCCAGAGCACTGATCGGGGCACATCGTCTTCAGGATTTCACAGTTGCTGCCTCCCCAGCCTGGGTTACAGTGACACTCGCCGTGGATGCAAACACCATGACTGGCACAGGCTGGGTCCAGGCAATCAGCTGGCAAGAGAAGAAGAAGATGAGCTTAAACGTGCCGTCAAACTGAAGAACGAACAGCCCACCTTAGGCTCTCAAGGCATCTTCCTGATTAAGCCACCTTTTAAAAACCTTGTGAAAGGGGGAGCATCACGCTCATCTTAAAAACAAGCCTCAGCAGGTTGATGCTGAGTGATTCATGTATGTTTTATTGCAATGAGTGAGTGAAAGACAGAGCAAACCAAGGTGTCTTGGGGCACCCTCCCTTCTCTAGCTACAAGGCTAAAAAAAAAAATAAAATCATTCTCTATCATCACTCATGACTGCAATTCCTAGTCAATCTTTGTTAGCATACTGGCATTTTTCTTTGCCAAAACAAGTCGTTTCACACCACTGTGGCATCGTGAAGTCAGTGCAAGTACAGAACTGACTCACAACATCACAGGCTGCTGTCTAATTCAATACAGATCTTTCAGGCTTTACTGATTTTTCTGAATTACAGCAAGATTCACTTTGGATTTCAGGCTACTGATCCCTGTTCCCTCTAATCACAGTGTAACAACTGTTGGATTCCTGGGAACGCTCGGTATCAGCTGACCCCATCCACTGCTACTGAGTTTTGACAGCTGTACAGGACCTCCGACTTGTTTCAGAAATAAATGAGTTGCATACTCTCCATCCTTCTTAATTCACTTTAATGTGCTTTAGATGACGAGATCTAATTTAGCAATTTGACTCAATAAAATGTTACACTTGTAGGGTCAATGGTCTGAAAATTTAATTCCAGAGACTTAATTGCATTACTTTGTGTGTGGAGATCAATAAAATCAATTTGATCGAGGAAGAAAATGGTGCCTTTTACTCCCTAAAAAAATAGAATAGAAAATGAACTGCACTTTGCAGCACACTCGAATGAATATTATTACGCACATCTCTCGAATACAAAAATGATGCATCATTTTTCATTACAATACATCGGAATCAGCATTTTCCACAATGTGGTTGGTGGAAAAGAGCCCTAACAAATGCAATACACTAATGATTTATTCTGTTCTGTGAAAGAAAGAAAAAAATCACTAAGTGTTTCTGTAGTCTAACATGTTTTTTTGTGCTCTCTTCTTAGCTGACCTCAGCCAGAAAAAGTAAACAAAAGTATACTGACAAGCAAAAAGATCCCATATTGAGTAATTAAAACTGTCCACATTGTCAAAAGGAAATAAAGTATGAGAGTTCTGCAGAGTTCGGTGATACTAGTGCTTCCCAAATATGATTATTAGAATTGTATTTTAGAAAAAACATATGTGACAAATACATTTCAGCATGCTTATGATTTACTGATAAACAGGTTTTATTTTCCAGGGATGAGTAGCAATGGGCAGCACCTAGGTCCATCAACATCAGAGCTAGCGCACCCTTTGGACGCGGGACCGCGCGTGGTACTCACGCACCTTCTTCGCAGTTCTCTCCTTTGTAGCCCGAGTTGCAGGCGCAGGAGCCCATGATGCAGATGCCCCGGCCACTGCATTGGGGGTCGATGCACTGGGTGGCCGGCACGTCGCACTCGGTGCCCTTCCAGCCGCTGTAGCACAGGCAGCGTCCCTTGGAGTACTGCCCATTGCCGCTGCACAGCACGGGGCAGGCCGCTGCCGAGGGAGACGCGCGCGTGAGGAGCGCGGCGGCCAGCAGAGCGGGCCCGCTGCCGAGCGGGCCGCGCGCCAGCGCCTTTCCAAGGGATTTGGCGCCACGTTCGCTTAGGAAGGGGTGGGTGGACGTACCTCGGGAGCAGTCGGGGCCCAGGAAGCCGGCGAAACAATGGCACGTCCCAGAAACGCACTCCCCGTTACCATGACAATTCCGGGGGCACTCCACGACGGACTCTATAAAAAAAAAAGGGGAGGGGGGGAAATAGGTAAGTAGGGTAATTCCTGGATTCCCACCATGCAAAGTATCTGTCATTTTACCACTGCTAATGTAAATGCAGCAAACAGATTCTCAGAGAGGTGTTCATGGCTGGTTTGTTTGGGATTCCCAAGAACACAAATAATTCCCATTTTCTGAAGCTGGCGCCTGTCACATCTTGGGCCTTCAATTTCCAACAAAAAAGCTCAAATTTTAATTATAAAACAATAGGTGCTCTGTGCTCAAAATCGAGCCTTGTGCTGTTTAACAAATATTACAACCAAAGTAGACTTCTTTCAAGGCAGGTTTTACATGGAGGTACAGACCTCGTACTCTAGAACAACTAATTAAAATACATATTCTGTGTTCTGAGCAGCAAAACAAACACAATGAAAGGAAAATCTGTGCAAATAAACCAGAAGATTTAATTGAGAAAGCTTGTCCCTGTATTCCTAAAATGAAAGTGAGCAGTGCTGAGGACCTGGTAAACTTCCAAAGATCATTCCCACTTACCTATAACGATGGTATTAAAAGACACCTGCTCCGCGTTCTTCCCGTCGTTGTAAAAGGCCAAGTGCCAGATGCCCGAATCCAGGTACTGGATGAAGCCGGCCTCGTGGAGGCTCACGGACCTGGCCTGCCGGCCCGCTCGCTCCGCCTCGAGCAGGTTGCGCTGCTCCCTGGCGATCAGCCGGCTGCCGTCCAGCAGCTCCACGAAGTCGTACTGCCGGCGGGAAGAGAGCAACACGTCACGGCAAGGCCCCTGCCGGCTTCCTTGGAATAACCCACCGATACGGTGGCATTTTGACCCAGAACTTCCCCTCATGGAGCACAGAAGTAGGAGCTGGGACTAACCCTGCCTCATGCCTTCACCTTGTGTTAGATCTCCAACAAAAAGGGCCCATTAGCACTCGCGTTCACCTCGGTGGCTTTTCTGGTGATGAGCTCAGGGCCAGCAATTCTGTTTCAGGGGTTGTACAGAAGAAAAGGTGAGCTGTGATTAATCTGCAGTCATGGCCCCCACCTGATCCACAGGTGAGCACTCCCTTTCGGCATGCCACACATCTCAGCTGCTAATAATATCCAACATCATTCCTCTACTTCGCTTTTTTATCCACTTTTGCAATAAGGATTAAATTGCTTGGTCCTCATGCCAGCTAGTCAGAAGCTCTGAGAGAAGGGAGGGCTTTCCTTCCACCTCCTGCAAAGGCCACCCAAAGCAGCACATGGAAATAGTTCCGACAAATTGTGAACTTCAGGTCAGCGGAGAGCGTGCAGAGAAACATGGCAAGGCCTGAGGGCTTGGAAAACGGGGCATGTGGGCTCCCATGAGCAATGGAAACAACCTGCAATCCCAAACCCCACGATTTTATGCATGTAATTCTTAACCAGTGTTAAGAGTGCCCATGGGACTTGACCCTTGTCTGGGCCTTGTGCTGATTTATACTAACCCAGAGTCTCATCAAACGCCTTGGAAGGTTTCTTTTGTACATTTCTCACATAAAGATCAAGGTGTATAAGGCAAAATCAAGCACTTAGGCAAGTTAAAGTGAATTCCTGGTTTTAGTAGAGAGCCTCTGCTCTCCCTACTCAGTCCACCCTTTCCCTTTTACTCTGGTATGTGTTTACTGTATGAGATGAACTGCTTCACATAAACCTTCAATCTGCCCCCAGTGTTTGAGATCCCTTTCAAACGGAATTACATCCAGGCTCTATTAAGGTAAAGGCCAGCATGTGAAACCATGGATTCACCTAGGCTGGATAACATCAGTTACTGGGGCTGGAGAATTGGTGGTTTCATGTCCTGACTTGTGACCTTCAGAAACTGCTCCCTGGACAGAAGAAAACACCACAGTCGCTGTCCCCAAACAGGGTTTAAGTACTTCTGTTCTCTCCTTCAAATTCCACTCCTGAGGCCAAAATGCACTGGCATAATAAAAATGCTCCTCTATAGTAATTGGAATTATCTTCCTACCATTCAGAGTGCAAAAGAAATGCATAGTTAAAATGCCTCTATCAACACCTGAGACACTTTTCCAGATACGTCTGAACAAGCAGAATAGGACTTAACATGATTAGTACGTGCAGAAGGCAGTACCTTGATACACTGTCACTTTGAATGTACGTGCAAATGCGCACGAAAACTAATGCAACTGTTTCAGGAGAGCACAGATTATTCAAAACCACTCAGTGTTCTCATTTGTCAGGGAATTAAATATTTATCTTATTTTGTGAGAGAGAGAGAGAGAGAGAGAAATCATTTTGTTTTTTTTTCCTCCTCCTACCAGACATAAGAACACTTCTTTCTGCTTGCATTATTTGCAAATATCTAAAGGAGAAAACAGGGAGTTCTAACTTGTAACAAGTTAATTATGGACATCAGGAAAGACCTCGTAATTTGTATACAGCAGAGGGTCATTTTTTTGTAGGAGGATAATTTCAGATGAAAACCATCTTTTTGAAAAGGGAGTAAATGATAATACTACTTAATTGACCTCAAACAGTGTGCTCATGGCTGACAAGCATGCTACTATTAATGATTTTGTGTTATAGTAATAATAAGAATCTATGTAAGTATCAAAATACTATTTTAGATTACATTTTAAGAACAATACAGAGAGCATTTCCTGTTCCATCTGCCCCCAGCAAACAACTATAACTGATCTAAACCTCTTTAAGGGCTAGGTTTGTACACCTAGGACAAAATTATCTGTGTGAAGATAATTCTTTGTGGGAAAAACAATTATCTTTGTGAGCAAAAAACATACTCATTTTATCTTCATCCTACGGGGATAAATTAATTACCTTCATATTGAGTCTAAACATTCAGCCTACTCCACCGAGTCTCCTCTATTCAGTTTTGCTTTACACCCAAGTCCTTTGTTATTCTTAAAGTCTCTTTAAATAAACATATTGATTTGCTGGCTGCAATGAAACTGACAATTTTACGAAGTGTCACCCAGATTTTGAGGCTGGCATTGATTGGGGTGTGCATGGACAGCCACTATCAATTATTTCTGCTTGATTTATATATGATTCCCCAGAAAGACAGAATGATGATCCTCAGAGAGGTCGGCAACGTGCATATGGAGCACGCACTTGTGAGTGATTTGGGTGCCTAAAGAGAAACCAGAAACGCAACCAAAAACTCTGTACTGACCACAGCATATCAAAACATTTCCAACATGCTGCATCCTGTTTACTTTGGATTATAGGAAAGGAGGAGAGCTAATACCAGTGATCCTGTTTCAAGAGGGTGCAGCTCTCCACTGTAGCTACCAAGAGGGTGTCAAACTCAATCTACCTGAAGGCTGTCTCAAAACACAGCAAAGATGTAGCAGGTAGAGATGAGCAGTTAAATCACGAAACCCTTTCCTACAAATGTCATGGATATTGAAAGCTTCCATGGATTTAAAAGTGACTAGACATATTCCTAGGAAAAAAAATAAATCTATCAAAGGTGACAGCACCTTTGTCTCAGAAAGTCCTTCAGCCTCAGAATGCTGGAGGCCAATAACTTATTCTAGGAAACGTCACAAGTCTCACACGCTGTTATATTAATTCACATATCTGCTAATGGCCACTATTACTTAGTGACAGACAGAACACTGGGCTAGATGGGCCTTTGATGAGACCCAGCATGGGCCTTCGTGTTCTGCTATCACGCTCCTGTGACACTCGGAGCTCTGGGAATCAGCTGTCGCACCCAATGACAGGATGCAGTGAAGCCAGGAATCATTGCCCGCTGATCCTGGTTTACCAACGAGACCTGCGTCAGGACTAGCTAGAAGGCTTCGGGGAGGCAGGGAAACCATGAACAGATATATGCCAGCATCTTATTTCTCTAGATGCTCTTTTAATTTAATAGCTTATTTTCTTTATATAAGGTAATTTGGTAAAATACATGATTTACCATACAGGTTATGACTGTGATTAGGCCTTTGCATTGTTGGAAAAAGGCCTAACCTGTGGCAAGATATTTATTTTCCAGGCACAGGAAACACAGTCACAAAAATAATCCAAGCTGCTCAAATGAACATTACACACACACTCAATTTCAGGCATATAAACCAGACATGACAGGGTTCAGGCCATGAGGACATTCTGATAAACCTTGTGCCTTACACAATCCTCAGGAGCCCTTCAAATTTATTCAACAGAGATGCCATTTAACTTACTAATAAAAGTGGGGATGCTTAATTTTTCAAGGTACCAAGTGTCAATGGCTCATAAAGAAAAAAATTTAACTATATTCCAGGCAAAAACAGAACAAGAGAGCTTCACTGACACCCCAGGAACAATATATCCAAAGAGTCACAGAAACTACAGCTGTACTAGCAGGATCCTTGTATGCTTCTTTCTGTTGTATTACACTTAAACATGAACAAGTTTGATTCTCATCAGCACTTGGATAGTAGGAATCCAACAAAAAGGAATCTGTGTAATACAGATGCCAGGAAATAGATATAGCTATCTCATTTTACAGAGTTTTTGGATAGAGGGGACCCCCATTTCAATCTTTTAGCAGGATAAGGGATCATTTTTCATCTACTTACCGACTTGCACAACCTCTCATATAAATGCAGTTCAGATCAGCTTCTTCAGTTTTATTTATTCTTGCCACACATGTATTCCCCTAGCTCCTGTTATTACTGTTATCATTGGGATTGCATTTGTATTCCAAGCCCCTATTTCCAATGGCTGATAACTTTCTGAATCAATTTTCTTTGAGCTAGAATTTCTCATGCTTGTTGCCAGCCTAAGGGTGAGTTTTCATATGTGAGAGTCTAACGAAAATCCATTTATTCATTTTTATGAGGATCAAATTTTTAAATAAACACAAGTGCATTTTCGGCATTTAATGAATTGTTTTTAGTTGAATTGAAACTAAACTAGAAATTAAAGCTAGCATAACAGTCTGCAGTTTCAGTGCTGTGAAACTCCTTTGCTTGACCCTAACTTTTCTCCTTCGGCTTGCAACAATTTCAAATCAGTGTGTGACAGTAGTTGCTAAATAGGTGACAGAATTAGGAATATTATCAAGTTCTAAATCTTTTAAAATTATGCTAAAACAAAGAATAAAATGTATTCATATAGTGCAACAGCATACCAATCAAAATCAAAATATATAAAGAAACTGAATGTTGTATTTATCAGTTTACAATTACAGCTGAGCATTGTGCGTAATGGGCCAACTCAGTTCATTCTGCCTATATCATTAGGCTACTATTCTGAGAGCTAAGTTCAGGACAAAAAAAAAAAATCTTTAAAAAAAGGTAAGATGTTGCATAATTCTCTAAATAGGGTAAAACGCTATTGCATGAGCTTAATTCCCTTTTCAAGTGGAACAACGGTTAGGAACCACAACTTGGAAAAATACTGAGCTGAAGCAAATTTAAACTTGGATGGTCTTAAACCCTAAAAATAAAATCTAAATACAATTGATCCAAAAATACCATCTCTGGTAACGATTCCTCCCTTTCTCCTGCCATCCAGACTATTCATTCTTTTATACTTTAACGGAAGCCTTTTCTATGACTTCTGATAAAAAGTGTGTCTTTGTTACTATACAAATGCATGATCATATACAATAAAAAGTCTCTTTAGAAACCTTCTAAGGGGCGGAGCAGAATAAATCCTCTGCGATACTTCAGAAAAGAATTTTAGGACAGTAAGACGCCTAATGAAAATGGACACTTTTACAAGCCTACTTCACTGTACCCATATAGACACATATTTCTTTTTTTTAATCTTGCATGTATGTATTTACTAGAACACCAAGCTGCAAATACTGTAGCATTTGCTTGTAGAATGAACTGAAACATTTTTTTTTTTAAAAAAATCTTCTTGTTTGGAAATTTGGCAAATACAACCTTTACCAGGCATAATCGCATACACAGCTGACCAGAATATAATAATTAGTTTAGATTTTTAAATATGTCTGTATGTATATCCCAGAAAAAAAGGAAATAAATTCTGCATGAAGCAACTCTGTTTCTAAAGCATTACTATTGCTCACAGAACTC